GGGAGTATTACTGCTGTGGAGCTCTGTTATACACTCAGACACATTACTGGGAGTATTATTGCTGTGGGGCTCGGTTATATGCTCTGACACATTACTAGGGGCATTATTGCTGTGGAGCTCTGTTATACACTCAGACACATTACTGGGACTATTATTACTGTGGAGCTCTGTTATACACTCAGACACATTACTGGGAGTATTATTGCTGTGGAGCTCTGTTATACAATCAGACACATTACTGGGAGTATTACTGCTGTGGAGCTCTGTTATACGCTCAGACACATTACTGGGAGTGTTATTGCTGTTAGGCTCTGTTATACACACAGACACATTACTGGGGGTATTATTGCTGTGGAGCTCTGTTATACACTCAGACACGTTACTGGGAGTATTATTGCTGTGGAGCTCTGTTATACACTCAGACACATTACTGGGAGTATTATTGCTGTGGAGCTCTGTTATACACTCAGACACATTACTGGGAGTATTATTGCTGTGGAGCTCTGTTATACACTCAGACACATTACTTGGAGTATTATTGCTGTGGAGCTCTGTTATACACTCAGGCATATTACTGGTAGTATTATTGCTGTGGAGCTATGTTAAACACTCAGGCACATTACTGGGAGTAGTATTGCTGTGGAGCTCTGTTATACACTCAGACACATTACTGGGAGTATTATTGTTGTGGAGCTCTGTTATACACTCAGACACATTACTGGGAGTATTATTGCTGTGGAGCTCTGTTATACACGCAGACACATTACTAGGAGTATTATTGCTGTGGAGCTCTGTTATACACTCAGACACATTACTAGGAGTATTATTGCTGTGGAGCTCTGTTATACACTCAGGCATATTACTGGGAGTACTATTGCTGTGGAGGTATGTTAAACACTCAGGCACATTACTGGGAGTATTATTGCTGTGGAGCTCTGTTATACACTCAGACACATTACTGGGAGTATTATTACTGTGGGGTTTGTCTATACAGTGAGACACATTACTGGGAGTATGATTGCCGTGGAGCTCTGTTATACACGCAGACACATTACTGGGAGTATTATTGCTGTGGGGCTCTGTTATACACTCAGACACATTACTTGGAGTATTATTGCTGTGGTGCTCTGTTATACACTCAGACACATTACTGGGAGTATTATTGCTGTGGAGCTCTGTTATACACTCAGACACATTACTGGGAGTATTATGTGGAGCTCTGTTATACACCCAGACACATTATTGGGAGTTTTATTGCTGTGGAGCTCTGTTATACACTCAGACATATTACTGGGAGTATTATTGCTGTGGAGCTCTGTTATACACTCAGACACATTACTGGGAGTAGTATTACTGTGGAGCTCTGTTATACACTCTGACACATTACTGGGAGTATTATTGCTGTGGAGCTCTGTTATACACTCAGACACATTACTGGGAGTATTATTGCTGTGGAGCTCTGTTATACACTCAGACACATTACTGGGAGTATTATTGCTGGGGAGCTCTGTTATACACTCAGACACATACTGGGAGTATTATTGCTGTGGAGCTCAGTTATACACTCAGACACATTACTGGGAGTATTATAGCTGCGGAGCTCTGTTATACACTCAGACACATTACTGGGAGTATTACTGCTGTGGAGCTCTGTTATACACTCAGACACATTACTGGGAGTATTATTGCTGTGGGGCTCGGTTATATGCTCTGACACATTACTAGGGGTATTATTGCTGTGGAGCTCTGTTATACACTCAGACACATTACTGGGAGTATTATTACTTTGGAGCTCTGTTATACACTCAGACAAATTACTTGGAGAATTATTGCTGTGAAGCTCTGTTATACACTCAGACACGTTACTGGGAGTATTATTGTTGTGGAGTTCTGTTATACACTCAGACACATTACTGGGAGTATTACTGCTGTGGAGCTCTGTTATACACTCAGACACATTACTGGGAGTATTATTGCTGTGGAGCTCTGTTATACAATCAGACACATTACTGGGAGTATTACTGCTGTGGAGCTCTGTTATACGCTCAGACACATTACTGGGAGTGTTATTGCTGTTAGGCTCTGTTATACACACAGACACATTACTGGGGGTATTATTGCTGTGGAGCTCTGTTATACGCTCAGACACGTTACTGGGAGTATTATTGCTGTGGAGCTCTGTTATACACTCAGACACATTACTGGGAGTATTATTGCTGTGGAGCTCTGTTATACACCCAGACACATTACTGGAAGTATTATTACTGTGGAGCTCTGTTATACACTCAGACACATTACTGGGAGTATTATTGCTGTGGAGCTCTGCTATACACTCAGACACATTACTGGGAGTATTATTGCTGTGTAGCTCTGTTATACACCCAGACACATTACTGGGAGTATTATTGCTGTGCAGCTCTGTTATACACTCAGACACATTACTGGGAGTATTATTGCTGTGGAGCTCTGTTATACACTCAGAAACATTACTGGGAGTATTATTGCTGTGGAGCTCTGTTATACACTCAGACACATTACTGGGAGTATTATTGCTGGCGAGCTCTGTTATACATTCAGACAAATTACTGGGAGTATTATTACTTTGGAGCTCTGTTATACACTCAGACAAATTACTTAGAGTATTATTGCTGTGAAGCTCTGTTATACACTCAGACACGTTACTGGGAGTATTATTGTTGTGGAGTTCTGTTATACACTCAGACACATTACTGGGAGTATTACTGCTGTGGAGCTCTGTTATACACTCAGACACATTACTGGGAGTATTATTGCTGTGGGGCTCGGTTATATGCTCTGACACATTACTAGGGGTATTATTGCTGTGGAGCTCTGTTATACACTCAGACACATTACTGGGAGTATTATTACTTTGGAGCTCTGTTATACACTCAGACAAATTACTTGGAGTATTATTGCTGTGAAGCTCTGTTATACACTCAGACACGTTACTGGGAGTATTATTGTTGTGGAGTTCTGTTATACACTCAGACACATTACTGGGAGTATTACTGCTGTGGAGCTCTGTTATACACTCAGACACATTACTGGGAGTATTATTGCTGTGGAGCTCTGTTATACAATCAGACACATTACTGGGAGTATTACTGCTGTGGAGCTCTGTTATACGCTCAGACACATTACTGGGAGTGTTATTGCTGTTAGGCTCTGTTATACACACAGACACATTACTGGGGGTATTATTGCTGTGGAGCTCTGTTATACGCTCAGACACGTTACTGGGAGTATTATTGCTGTGGAGCTCTGTTATACATTCAGACACTTTACTGTGAGTATTATTGCTGTGGAGCTCTGTTATACACTCAGACACATTACTAGGAGTATTATTGCTGTGGAGCTCTGTTATACACTCAGACACATTACTTGGAGTATTATTGCTGTGGAGCTCTGTTATACACTCAGGCATATTACTGGTAGTATTATTGCTGTGGAGCTATGTTAAACAATCAGGCACATTACTGGGAGTAGTATTGCTGTGGAGCTCTGTTGTACACTCAGACACATTACTGGGAGTATTATTGTTGTGGAGCTCTGTTATACACTCAGACACATTACTGGGAGTATTATTGCTGTGGAGCTCTGTTATACACGCAGACACATTACTAGGAGTATTATTGCTGTGGAGCTCTGTTATACACTCAGACACATTACTAGGAGTATTATTGCTGTGGAGCTCTGTTATACACTCAGGCATATTACTGGGAGTACTATTGCTGTGGAGGTATGTTAAACACTCAGGCACATTACTGGGAGTATTATTGCTGTGGAGCTCTGTTATACACTCAGACACATTACTGGGAGTATTATTACTGTGGGGCTTGGTTATACAGTCAGACACATTACTGGGAGTATGATTGCCGTGGAGCTCTGTTATACACGCAGACACATTACTGGGAGTATTATTGCTGTGGGGCTCTGTTATACACTCAGACACATTACTTGGAGTATTATTGCTGTGGTGCTCTGTTATACACTCAGACACATTACTGGGAGTATTAGTATTATTGCTGTGGAGCTCTGTCATACACTCAGACACATTACTGGGAGTATTATTGCCGTGGAGCTCTGTTATACACTCAGAAACATCAGTGGGAGTATTATTGCTGTGGAGCTCTGTTATACACTCAGACACATTACTGGGAGTATTATTGCTGGGGAGCTCTGTTATACATTCAGACAAATTACTGGGAGTATTATTACTTTGGAGCTCTGTTATACACTCAGACACATTACTGGGAGTATTATTGCTGTGGAGCTCTGTTATACACTCAGACACATTGCTGGGAGTATTATTGCTGTGGAGCTCTGTTTTACACTCAGACACATTACTGGGAGTATTATTGCTGTGGAGCTCTGTTTTACACTCAGACACATTACTGGGAGTATTATTGCTGTGGAGCTCTGTTATACACTCAGACACATTACTGTGTGCAATAGTGTGTTAAACGCCACACCCTACAAACCAAAATGAGCAATAAATCTTTTACAATCACCGTTTAGCAGACATGCCCCAATGAAGGCACTTAAAGAGCTTGCAAAATCTTCAGATCTTATCAGTTTCAGCCCTAGGAAGCCCTCCCCTTTTCCCCACCAATAGACTTAAAGTCACTTCACAGGAGAATAGTCGAATTGGTGCCTACGTGCATGCACGCACGTCTGGTCAGAGATCGGAAGGAGCCGGATGCGCTGGTCTGAGGTCTGTGTGGGAGGAGGCAGACACGTTCCGTTATCTCAGACCTCTACCCTGTTTGATTGACAGGAGGTGTTCCCTGGTACATTTGTAAAAGTGCTGATTTCTCATAAAAATCGTCCCTTTTGTAAACGGGGGTTAAACTAGGATACCCATTGCCCTTAAAGCATTTCTGCAAGCTGACATGATTTTGGGGTGTGGAGTGTTCCTTTAACCCCTTAAGGACACAGGACACGTGTGACAGGTCATGATTCCCTTTTATTCCAGAAGATTGGTCCCTAAGGGGTTAAACTCGATGGTGGAGATTTAGCTAAGTTTTCTTTACCCGTTTTAGAATGGAATGTGCTTACATTGTTTAAACAGAAGGCGATTGCCCATCATTTCTATTTACGTAATGTGTTCTGTTATAACCGTAGTTACTGGGTTATTACTGTAATTATTACAAAACTGACCTATTCTCTACATTTCGAACAAACCCCCTCACTACTCCACTTCCTCCCTCTTTGTCTGGAAATTCCCCATGATGTAAGTAAAGCTGGGTGAGTGGTGTCGGATTGCCAGCCCAAAACATGGTGTGACCCTCACGCCACCAGCAGACAGGCACACCTACAACAGGAAATTGCAATTATTCATTCTGTTACACTCAGTGAGTTACATTGTATACAGGAGCTAACGCCGGGTACAGATCTGTCCTAGGATGGCAGTGCCAGTTTCTCTGTTAGTCTTATTTCTGCTATCCGGACCAGGCACAGGTAACCATTTATTGCACTTACAAAGGATTTAACGAATTAACAAAAATAGTGAAATAGTTAGAGCAAAGTTGGCTGGAACAATAGCCGAGGAACGATATCTGATTTGGAAAACTTTTTCCAGCTTGTCTAATTTGGCACAAAAACATGTAATTCGTTAACCCCTTAAGGACACATGACGTGTGACATGTCATGATTCCCTTTTATTCCAGAAGTTTGGTCCTTAAGGGGCTAACAATTCAAGGTAGGAAGGGAGGAATGGGAGGGGGCAATGCTGTTACTTTCTCCAAATAATATCTGTAGTATTTTGAGCAATATTTAACCAGAGATTCTTGTACAAGTCATTTTAGTGCAGCCATTATTGTTAACCCTTCAAACTGTAATATGTACGTCAAACAGGAGGAAACATGGCCGTTTTTTTAATCTCTTCATGATACATATAATAATAATTACTCACCACGGCTATCAAAAGAGACGGTTTTGCTCTGCTTGTAATGGGGGGGTTGTTATGAATTGCATCATTTCTAATGTATTGACGTATTCGGGGCTTGGTTTCACCTCCTGTTCTTGTTTCTGTTCATTTTATTAATTTGTGTCCTTTTGTAATTTGCTTGTTTGATTTCTTTGCGTATTTACTTACAGCTCTGTAGACTGTAGTTAAATAATTCCAATCATCTAGCGGTTGGTAAACGGTGTCCAGTAATTCTTGTTGTGTTTGCGGTAACGTATTTAATGGCTTCTGATGATTTGACCTGTTAAGGGTTACTCTCTGTTAACATGTACTCTACCTGTGTAAAAGAAGGTCTGGTCACCCTCATCTCTGCTTGATATGATATGCAGTGGAATGTAGGGACAGGAACTTATTACATGAGCACTCCACACACCATAACCACTACAGAGTGCTCTGCTGATTATGGCACCAGGTGCACACTCCCGGTCAGTAGTCAAACTGTTTCCAAATGGTCTGACAACGTACCTACGTTCTGTTGTTCACCGGTCACCTCCCCCAGGAGACTCTCTGCACAGTCTGGTGGTAAACGGCTTAGCTTATTGGCTGACGGCGCTCAACTAACACTGTCAGCCAATGAGACGACTCTGCACTGTAGGGTTTAGCTCTGTGGAGCTAACAGAAGCTCCACGAAGGAGCTTCTGGCACTTCTGGTGCTGTAACGGCCCCCTGCAGACCCCAGGAAATCAAACCGTTTAAAAACTACCACTGTACTGGTTTTGGTGCTTGGAGTGTCCCTTTAAATACGTAGTATTCAGGAAACAGTGACATCATCATGACTTCCTGTGGGCAAGCATTACTATAATAATGTATCTAAATATAACATGTCTCCCTTTCTAACCAAGCTGCCGCTTACTGCCACCGGTAATTATGTGTTATATCCGTTTTACATACCAACAGCAAATCATTTCACTAATCATTACTTTAATATTTCCATTTTTTATTTTTATTTCCTTCAAATCACCAGCAAGCTTGTTGTGCAGTTTTATTTAAACTTCGGTTGTTTGTTTAAAAACCTGCAGGGAGCAGCCATATTGTCTTCAAAGGATCGACTAATGTGCAAGTACACAATGTACATCTTCTCACTCTAAAAAATGTTTGTTGAGCGATTTCCTTCCAAGTAAATGTTTTAAAAAGAGATCAAACAGGTATGAATGTCCGTCCAGTCCATTAAACAGATTCTGAGATATCCTGAAAGACGTCCTTAGAAAAAGCAATATGGCTGCTCAGTGCATTCTGTATCGGATGATTATAATCACAAACTCTCAATAGTATCAGACTGTTATGACTGAGAATTGTTATATCTTATTTTCCTTCAAATCCCCATGCATGCTGCTCCCTACTTAGCATTATTTAAAAAAACATGTATTTTTGTTTGTTTGACTATCATAATTAAATGTATTTCTTTTATTTATTTTCGTAAGGAAGCTCTCATTGTGGCCATCAGAATTCACAGAATGCTGGCATTGCAAGGATCCATCGCTGTTACATTAATACCAGTTGGGGTTCAATCACCGAACTTCCAACATCCTGACCATGTATAAAGCTGGCACCCAAAACTTCACCAAGCAAGCGTTCCATCCTCCTAATCACTGGGTACCGTATAAGGCACATCACAATCAGGTCTCAAACCTAGCACTATATAGAGAGCGTTAACTAGTCTCAAGGTGAAAGTTGGTGCCGGCTGTTAAAATCAGATAATAATCCCATAACTATTAAAATGCAGACTATATAAAACCACACACAGGGCCGGCCTTTGGGGTGTGTGAGCTGTGCGGCTGCATAGTGCGTCGGAGCAACAAGGGCGCCAGGCAGCCGAGGTACCAGATTCCCTCTCCCCTTGTGCCCACAGTCTCCAGCCTTTTCCAGTCAGAATTAAAACTTTAGTTCTTTAAGTACGTTTGCAGGCAGTGCGGGACCAAACATTCTCAGTCAGGACCTCTCTCTCTGATGCTGGGTTCTGTGTGTGAACCAATAGAGACACTTCTTGTTATACCCCCACCCGCTCCACAGAGAACCTGACAAAAGTCCTGGCAGAGCATGTAAGGTCTCAGGAGGACTCTCACTCCCATGATGCTCGGTTCAAAAACTTGGAGATGGAGGTGCGGGGGGGAGATGGAGGCACAGGGGAGAACAAACATGAAGAGGAGCATGTACACAAAGGGGGACGTGGACATAAGGGCAGAGGCGGCTCTCTAATTAGGCGGTTTAGGCGGCCGCCTAAGGCCTCGTGCTGGCTGGGGGCTCGCGGCCGCCTAAACCGCCTTATGGCAGACTTGACACCAGGACGGGTCCCGGCGGCTTGCCCGGTATGCCGCCGGGTGCGAGGCCCCTCCTGGCTGCCTGGCCACCATCGCAGACCATGTGTCTCGCGAAAACCGGCCAATCAGAGCGTTTCCGCGGGTTACCACGGCAACGCTCTGATGATCTTGTGAGATTACACGGTCTGCAGCTCTGCGTAGCTGCAGACCAGAAGCAGTGGCCACCGGACAACCAGGGAGTCCACTGGACCACCAGGGAATAAAGGTAGGTTCTGCTCACCCCCCACCAGCCTCCCCACCCCCCCACCAGCCTCACCACTACCCTCAGCCTCCCCACCCACCCACCAGCCTCACCACCACCCTCAGCCTCCCTCACCACCACCTTCAGCCTCCTTACCCCCACCAGCCCACCACCACCCTCAGCCTCCCCACCAGCCTCCCCACCCCACCAGCCTCCCACCACCACTCTCAGCCTCCCCACCCCCACCAGCCTCACCCAGCACCCCAGCCTCACCACCACCCTCAGCCTCCCCACCACCCACCAGCCTCACCACCACCCTCAGCCTCCCCCACCTCCCCACCAGTCTCACCACCAGCCTCACACCACACCCTCAGCCTCCCCAACAGCCTCACCAACCCTCACACACCCCCACCACCCTCAGCATCACCACCCTCAGCGTCACCCCCACACCACCCTCAGCCTCACCACCCCGACACCACCCTCAGCCTCACCCCTCACCACCCTCAGCCTCTCGCATTACCCCCCTCTGCCTATCTACCCCCCTCTCGCATTACCCCCCCTCTCCCTCTCACCATCACCCCCCCTCTCCCTCTGACCATCAACCCTCCATACACACAACACACTTCAAGCAGCTAACACATACGGTCTCAGGAGGGTATGGGAGAGACATGAACACAAGGGGAACATGTAGACAGGGACATATGAGGAGACATAGATACAAGAGAGACAAGGGAACATGGATGGACATCGACACAAAGTGACACAATGGACACAGGAGTGGACGGGGTGGGCATAGACACAAATGAGGACACAAGGAAGACATGGAGACAAAAAGGACATAGACACAAAGGGAGACATGGACACCCACACTGGCACACATACTACTACACATAACGTGCACACACACACACCCACACTAGTAAACATACTACTGCCCATAATGTGCACACACCCGCACTGGTACACATACTACTACACATAACATGCACACACCCACACTGGTACACATAACGTGTACACACCCACACTGGTACACATACTACTGCCCATAACATGTACACACCCACACTGGAACACATAATACTACACATAACGTGCACACACCCACACTGGTACACATACTACTGCACATAACGTGTACACACTCACACTGGTACACATACTACTGCAAATAACATGCACACACCCACACTGGTACACATACTACTACACATAACGTGTACACACCCACACTGGTACACATACTACTGCACATAATGTGTACACACTCACACTGGTACACATACTACTACACATAACGTGTACACACCCACACTGGTACACATACTACTACACATAACGTGCACACACCCACACTGGTACACATACTACTGCACATAACGTGTACACACTCACACTGGTACACATACTACTACACATAACGTGCACACACCCACACTGGTACACATACTACTACACATAACGTGTACACACTCACACTGGTACACATACTACTACACATAACGTGTACACACCCACACTGGTACACATAACGTGTCATAAGAGTGGATTTATGTACCAGTGTGGGTATGGGTGTGTGCAAGCGCCAGCCTTGTGTTGAGCAGGCACTTGGATAGCATCAGCCCTACCTAGAAAAATAGTTTGATCTCCCCTGTTTACCTCATGGCCCATGTGGCATTTGCCCAGTTTGCTCGATTGAAAGTCCAGGCCTTCCCCAAGGTGTATACCTATGGGACTTTTTAATAATACCCTGAATCTGTATTCTGAAAGATCCCCCAAGTACAGAAATGTCTCTTATATTTACCTTTGATCACTTTTCGTATAATTTTTAAAGGGCAGAGTTGGTTTGGCAGTGATTATAGTTATCTGCTTACCCACAAACCTCTCTGTCATTCACAGTATCACAATGTGAAACTAAATAAAGTGGAATATTCATGTTTTAACCAGGATGTGGGTGAATTAGAACAATGACTACGGTAGATTCACCTCTAAGCCTCTCCTGACTCCTAATCACAGGGAGTTAGGAGAGACCTGAATATTGTTTTAAAGAGTAGTCTGGGGACTCTAGTGGGGTGTAGCGGGTGCATTTACCACAAGCCACTCTATTAATCACAATTGTAAATGGGATTTGGTGTCAATAAAAATAAATGAATCTCGTTGTTCCTGAGTAATACAGCGGAGCTTCCAAAGGGTTCATTCATTTTTTACAGGGAGGAGACTTTCCACAGTTAAAGCAGTTCTGTCACTTCTGAGCATTTTAAGATAAACACATTTATTAAGCACTTACATTGAGTGCACTGGGATTTCCCCGAAATTCTAACACAGTTGAAAGATATCATAACACAAAACAGGCAACAAATTATCTTATGGGCGGAACTGGAGTTAGTAAAACTTGACTAAAGGTGCAGTTTCTGCTGTCAGGTTTAACCCCTTAAGGACGGAGCCAAATGTACACGTTGTGAACGAAACAAAATGTAAACCAAACCTGGCATTTGCGCTACATGTCTGTCCAACCGTAATTCACCTCTTTCATAGTAAATGCACCCACCCTTATTATATATCATTTTATTCAGGGGAAACAGGGCTTTCATTTAATATCAAATATTTAGCTATGAAACATGATTTAATATGAAAAAAATGGGAGAAAATAAGATTCTTTTTTATTTTTTTAGTTCTACATGACATTTTAACTGTCAATGTCTTAATACTGTTTGCTTTTACTGCAATAAAATACACATATTTGTATTCAGCAAAGTCTCATGTGTAAGACAGTACCCCCTATGTACAGGTTTTATGGTGTTTTGGGAAGTTACAGGGTCAAATATAGCACGTTACATTTGAAATTGAAATTCGCCAGATGGTTACGTTGCCTTTGGGACTTTATAGTAGCCCAGGAATAAAATCTACACCCATAATGGCATACCATTTGCAACAGTAGACAACCCAAGGTATTGCAAATGGGGTATGTCTAGTCTTTTTTAGTAGCCATTTGGTCACAAACACTGGCCAAAGTTAGCGTTAGTATCTGTTTGTGTGGACTGCCGTCGACCGGGTAAGTAAGAAAAGACCGGAGGGCCTAAAATAGGGCGTAATTGTACGCCCTCCGGTCTTAAGGGGTTAATCAATTTCCAGAGAAAGAGACATCTGTGCACATGTCATGAGAGTGGATTAATGGAGGATCCTGCCATCTTACAGATTCAACCATAGACCTCCTGCTGTACTTTGCACATCTAATGTCCCATTGTACAGCGCTGCGGAACTTGTTGGTGCTTTATAAATAGCTGAAGATGGATGAATTGAAGACAGTAGAAAGATGTAGTCCCCATGAGGGAGAGCTTCAGGTTAGTATATTTACCTTCAGCCTCCCTTCCCTGTGACCACCCACCAAAATATACAAAGACCCCAAAAGTGACAGAACTGCTTTAAGGTCTCGAACCAGCAGTACCTGGCTTCTTCTGACTGTAGTTATTTTATTGCTATGATTACATTTTATACATTGCTAACCACAAAATATAACACTGTTAATAAAATTTTGGATCATTTGTCAAATTGTGTCTTTTTTTTAAGAAGTTCTTTGGCTAGGTGTATAATTGTGTTATTGTAGGGAAAGTACAGACTCTAAGGTCTTATCTGGTGCGGCAGAAATCGACACACTGGATCTTTAAACATAAAGGCGTTACCAAAATAGGGACTAGTGGTTTACTAAATACATTTAGTGATGATTAAAAATGTATTCCAATGATCTCTAATCTCACTCATAAATAAAATGACCAAACCTCGTGTAAATGCCCTTTCAAATGGATGAATTCAGCTCTTTTAGACACACCCATTGCGCACGTTTGTATATATCCAAGCACACAGACACGGACAGACAAAGAATTCGAATCACAGTGAATTTTAACATCACAAGATGCCACCATTCCACCTGGTCAACACATCAAATATCTAAATCTGCTCCTTTCTAATATATACAGTAATGGTAGGCAGAACCTGCAATCATCGCACAGTATGGGAAGTGGAACAAGAATCACTATTACTGGACTATGGAGCAAGTAAAATGCTTTCTTGGAATGTCGGATCCAGTTTTAGCAGCTGATAGTCCAATGGGCAGCTCTTGGATTAATGTATTTCAGGGAAATGGCACTTGCCTGACTGCAAAGTGCCAACTGTGAAGTCCGATAGGGAATATTTCTGAAGTTATTTCATGCTTTGGCCTGGATATCGTCAGGAAGATCACAGCAAGCTCTTAATGCCATTAGAAAATACTTTTTCGTCTCTCGGCATGACAATACTTCTCTACTTAAAGTGCCGTCCATACAGAAATGAACAGAAGTAACTGGAGTGGATACCACGAGGGAAGTCTGAACTTTACCATTGGAATACCATCCGCGTGCTACTCCCACTGTGCCAACATTGGTGCCCAGTCTCAATAATAATTTTGGGAATGCACTGCCAGTAGCAATATTTAATAAATTAACATGGCGGCCGTGAGAAGAGTGGAGGTTATTTTAGAATCAGAGCTAGGAGGATTATATTGGTGGAGGATGTTGAGGAAGAGTGGAGGATTATATTGGCGCTCGTGATGGTGGAATGAGATAGGTGACAACGCAGTTAGCCATGTAAAACATCCGAGCTGTCGTCCATTTTATAATCCCTTGTTAGTCTATTTCCATGTGAAACAGTTAAAGATTTCCCTCCTTCAATTTTTTTATACAAATATTTAGAGCCAACACTGAATGGAAGCACAGCGCCAGAGGACTCCAGGCACTATAACAACTTCAATGAGATGGAATAATTAAAGTGCCTGGATGCTGTCCCTTTATCAAATAACTCCCACTCGCCTCATCCTCCTCTAGCTGTACAGCAGCTAGAATGTAATCATTAACTAATTTATAAATATTGAACACCTCTGCCCCTGGCCTCATGTTGGATTAACAAAATCATCCCCAAGTCTACTAACCAAACAATTGGAGAACCATGGGACTATTAAAGCATAGCACCTTACATGAATAGGAAAACGGGGAAAAACAAACAAAAAAGAATAAAATCACTTTGAAATAAAACAGTATTGACCCAAGTTGAGAGCTTCCATGTTGTTCTGAGGGACTCTCACAGCCCAAGTCTCACTCCCAGCAGTGACATCATCTCCACGCAAATTATCTGTCATGAATCAGAAACGGTAAATGATGTGATATTATAATCATTCCATCAAACTCGCCTATAACGAAGCCTTTTATCACCATATTGAATGCCACTGTCAGCATTGGCTCACATTTCATAATTTAATAACTGTGCCCTCATTACTTTCATGACAGAGCAAATTCTTTTAAATTTGATTTCTGTGAACCCAATACCAAATGGAGCAACCGAAAACCACATCTCAAGGAAGAGCACCGATGCCAGATATGGAATGTTCAACCTTAAAAAAGTATAATTTCCATTAAATCTGTTACATATTTCTCAAAAATATCTCACAATATATCCATGGACACGCCAGAGACATATGTAGGACCTATACACTGATATCATGTCAAAACCAGGTGATAGCGGGAGTTGAACACTTGTGAGGGTACAAGATGTAGATAGGAATAAATTGGCGGTCAGAAGCTGATGACTTGAGTCAATAGGCCTAAACTAAATTAAAGCAGCATTGTCATGCCGAACTTACCTTTCTTAAATCGCTTCCTCTTCTCTCCCTCTGTCAGGATCTGTTCTTCTTTTCTTCCTGTCTGCTCTAGTTTTCTTTAAAACATAAGACAAAGTAAGGACTACTTTGTCTTATGGAGGTTTCCTACGCCTGACCATCTCTGACCAGCGGAGGAGCAAAGTGTGCTTCATTTCCGGTGGTCAGAGAAATTTCACCATAATTCTAAGCTTTCCTCCCTGTTCCCGCGATACTTCCTGTCAGTATTCCCGAACATCCTGTCATTTAGACAGGACGTCAGCAAAACTTCCGAATTGCGTCCTAACAGAATGAGAACAGTTTGTTCATTCGTGTTAGATGCAATTCCGGACTTTATTTGGATCGGAATTTCATTCTAATGAATGAAACTCTGATCCTATTCGTGCCGGGACTGCATCTTGCAGCTGCTTAGTAGATAGCTCCTTAATTCCCACGGTATACGTTAAGAATACTTAGTATTAGTAAATGCTGCCCCTATTCGTTATACTGAGAGTAGGGGCATGTCTAGTAAACAGTGAGCAGTCTGAGTCACCCCCCCCCCCCACTCACATAAAAAATAATCCCCTACCTACCCCCCTCACCATAAAAATAGTGAGGGGGGAATAAAAGAACTACCTGTAGAAAAATTGTAAAACTTACCATTTGATGTCTTCTTTTTTCTAAAATCTATATTTTTCAGCCCCAAAAAAGGCCAAATAAAAACCACAATACCCGTCAAATTTGTAAAAAAATTAAATAAAGAACCCGAGTGCAAAAATAAAACAGACGACAAAGAAAAATCCTGACGCTAAAAAATGTAATCCATCTTCACCCAGTGAGGGCACGGCGCAGCCTGAACTCCACAGGGCGGGGGAAGGCTTATAAAGCCTGGCCCCGCCCTGCAATTAGGCTCAGAGCACTCTGATTGGTTGACTTGGAATTCAACCAGAGTGCTAGTCATTTTACAGAGCGTGGGAAAGTTATTTGGCATTTTCATTTAGGGCCCCCATCCGCCGCTCAGGGGTGGGGACCGTAGGGGGAGGACAATAGGTCCCCCCCCTCATTTTCCTTTATTGCCCCCACCGCTCAGGGGTGGGGGTCAGGGGGCGGACAATGGGTCCCCCCACCTCATTTTCCTTTATGGCCCCCACCCGCCGCGCAGTGGTGGGTGCCGGGGGGAGGACAATAGGGGGTACTAGGGTTTTTTTTTGTTTTTTTTTCTAACAGTGAGCAGCTGCTCACTGTTTAGTAGACATGCCCCTACTCCCAGCATAGCAAGTAGGGGCATTGGGGAGATTTTACACAGAGTGAGGGGGGACCTGGGGGGCTTTGAAGGTGGCGGGGAGCACTGCTCCCTGCCGCTTCTATCTTTACATTTTACAAGGATGGAGCTGTGCTCCTGTAGCTCCCTCCTTGTAATAAACTGAACAAACAAACGAACACCGATATTCAGTGTTTGTTTGTTCATCTGACATTTCTATTCATTCGTTCGTCTTTCTGATGAATGAATGAATAGATGAAATTCCCATTCACATGCCTAGGTGTTTAACTGCTATCTAGTGTGGGCAGATGACGTGTCTCACAAGGCCTTCATCTACCCACACAAAGATGGCGGCACCCAGAACCTAGGTCCGGGCACAAAATAAAGTAAATAAACTAGGTAATATGGGGAGCTTAGGGTCATTTGGGGGTGATAACGGGGTCAATTAGATGTAGTGGAGTCAGGAGGGGGGTTAAAAAAAACCCACGGGATTCGGCCATGACAGTGCTGCTTTAGCAATGTTATAGGGACACTATAGACACCGAGACCACATCAGCTCATTGAAGGTCTGGGTGCAGTGTCCCATCACCCTTAACCCTGCAAATGTAATTATTGCAGTTATTGCGAAACTGCAATAATTACTGTGACGGAGCTCCTGTACTCCGACCGAGTACCTCCGCCCAGTCCGCTTCCTAGCCACTTGCAGGGACCCTGGAACACTTCTGCCACGTTGTAGCAGCTTAACTGGGGTCCTTCTGGAGCTTTTACACCTGAACAGTCAGCAGCTCTCCTTCCAGGTAGGTATCATCCCCTCTGCCTATTCCGCAACAGCCCTTCTTCCAGGCAGGTATCATCCCCTCTGCCTATTCCGCAGCAGCTCTCCTTCCAGGCAGGTATCGTGCCCTCTGCCTATTCCGCAGCAGCCCTTCTTCCAGGCAGGTATCGTCCCCTCTGCCTATTCCGCAGCAGCCCTTCTTCCAGGTAGGTATCATCCCCTCTGCCTATTCCGCAACAGCCCTTCTTCCAGGCAGGTATCGTTCCCTCTGCCTATTCCGCAGCAGCCCTTCTTCCAGGCAGGTATCGTCCACTCTGCCTATTCTGCAGCAGCTCTGCTTACAGTGATTATAGTTATTGCCTTTACAAAGGCAACTGCAGCTCTCAAGCCTAGCTCTCTTGATTCATCCCAGGGCTACAACAACACGCACACAGGTCCGAAGACTGTCACTAGGATCCCTTAAAATCCACACAGGATTCAAGTTCCAAAAGGAACTGACATACAAAACTTGGAACTAGCCGATATGATCATAACATTTAGATTGCTGTGACAAAGATAATAATTGCATAATAACATATTTATAAAGGAATGGGGAAGACAATAATTAGAAAATGCAAACCTACCCAAATGTGCAAATTAGCACGCCTTGCTATTCAGGTAGTGCATATAGTTGTTGCTAGATCCTTGCAACCAACAGGTGGCACTGCACATACTCTACAACCAAATTCACCTAGTTGATTGCAAGCATTAGCAAGACAGGAGAGCACACTAACATTTAACCCCAAACACACATTACACACACACCCTGCACTTACAATGGACACAGGGTGACTTAAACATCAGTATAGTCCAGGGCTCTACATAAAACGTCCTTATGAAACCACAGGTGATGGTGACTACTGTCACAATTACTATCCAGGGTTAAATTCACCTCTAGTGGCTGTTTACCAGA